CACAGGTGTGGACATTCTAAGTGTCCCCAAAGACCACTTGTCATTGGCTCTTAGTACTTTTGGGAATGACTAGACTAATTTTCTAGAACTCTACTTCTGTGCAACCCTAGTTTCTGCCTCTATTCCATCTAGTCCACCATCTTGCTTTTTTAAGGTGAGAGAACTTGCCAGAGAGCACATAAGAGAAGGTATCTGCAGACAACCCTGCAAAGGTAAGTCCTTTACCTCCTTTCCTGGTCCCTCTCCCCACCATATCCTTTGCTTCCAGGGGTCCAAAGCATCCTGCCCTCATCAGGGGAGGGGTAGACAGAGGAACAAGGAGTGGAGGAGGTTAGTAGGCAGCCATGGATGGGGCAATGTGAGTGCCCACTCAAAGCACCGGTGCCTGCACTCCGCCTAGATGATCAGGCCCTCGTTTCCACATGTGGGCCCTAACTGTAGCTTGAACTTCTGATCTCCTGCAGCCCCTTGGGAGAGCTGGGTGATGCCACTCTCGATGAACAACCATTACATCCAGACACCCTCGTCAGCGCTTGTCGCAGAACAAGTAGAAAGGTCAGTCATCTGCTCCCCCAAGCCACCCTCAAAGATGACGATGCCTCTCATTTCTCCTTGGCTTCCCCAGCTCCTGTGACAGAGGCCTGTGACACAGCAAACCAACCAGGACATCCAGCCATTCCACATGGGCCTTTACCACTGGCCCCCTCTGCTTTCTCTCCTAACCACTTTGCCCTCTTGGAAAGCTGGCTTTCTTCCACACCACCAGAGTCAAAGCCCTCTTTAAGACCTAGATTTCTACAGGACCCTACCCTACCCCCCACACTTGCCTCTTTTACTCTTCCAACAGAGGGAGCACAAGGGGCAGAAGTCTTCCCACTGGAAACCACTAGGTCTCCAGTCAGCAGACCCAGTGAGGTATTTGTTAATGTCCCAACAAGCAAAAGCACTGGCTATGTAAGCCAGCCAGTGTCAGACCCCTCCCAGCAGAGGCCTGCTGAGGACAACCTGTTACCTTCAGATTTGGCATCCTCCGCTAACCAGCATCTCCCAGATACCTGTGCTTCTCAAGCCTCTTTGCAGGGCAACCTTCCAGAGCCTGGAAACCTCTTGCCTCCCAACTCTGATGCCCTGGCAAGACTCAAAGGGCAAGACAAAAAGGAGGGTGATTTCCTTCCCACAAAGGATAGGAAGAACAAAGAATATCTTATAAAGTCACCCTATTTGGAGAAGCTGTCATCAGCAGAATCATTGGCTAAGTCACAGGAGTTGGCAGCCTCGCATTCAGCAAGCAGCAAAGACAAGCCCATGAACCAGCAGGCCCCTCACTCCAAGACCTCTGTAGACAACGCAGAACCTAAACCCACACAACTCTTCTGGGGTTCCCCCTCTCTGCACAGTGAGGCCTTGCACCCTCCCACCACTGCCTCGAGTGACCCTTCCTCAGCATTCAACAGTATGGCTGAAGCCTCCCTAGCTGACAACTCCCCGCCGCCTGTTACTCTCCCCACACCTCTGTTTGTGACTAAGAGTCAACCACAGACCTGGTTCCAGACCCTGTCCCAGTCTCATTCCCAACGTGACCCTCCTGCTGGGGGCCAGGCTCATCCTCAATGCCACTCCCCGGTCTCGGTATTGACATTTTCTCCTCAGTCCCAGATTAAGATCTGTGGGGTGCATTTTCACAGACCCCAGGATGAAGCACAGCCTCTTGGTCCATTTGAAACGCAGCACCTGGAATACAACGTCTTGAAAAAAGAGCAGGAGAGAGTGTGGGGTTTGCCCTCGGTGGTCCAAAAATCTCAGAAGACATTTTGTCCCTCACCTCCCAAGCTCTCGACAGTGAGCCAGTCCTTAAAGTCCCATAATCCCAGGCCCATCCTGCTCGGAGATTTCCCCCTCACCAATGAGCTTCGTAAGAAGCTGGAGCACCACCTCCGAAAGAGACTCATCCAGCACCGCTGGGGGCTGCCCCACAGGATCAATGAGTCCCTGTCACTCATGTGTCCTCAGTCAGAGTTGGCGGATTTCCCTGAGTCGAAGAGGAGTCGTGGCCTCTCATGGCTCTCTCTCTTTAAGCATCAGCAGAGCAAGGACTCACATGACATTGTACTTAATGGAGCTAGAAAGTTTCATAGTGGAACCTTAAAGAATTGTGCCAGAGAGGAGACTAAGATCAAAGCACAGACAGACAGCAAAGTTGTTGGCCAAAAAGACCATCTCCAGAGAAACCCTGAGGAGGCCCTGGCTAGCAGTCTGCAATCCCACTTGAAGACAGATCTGGAGCCTCATGCAGCTAGTCAGTCAGGACAACTTTCAAGCCTCTCAAAGGTGAGCCAGTGTCAGAAGAAGGTTGAAATTGCACTGGAACAACACCTCAACAAGAAAATGAAAGAAATCCGTGAGGGTCAGATCCCTAGCACTGTAGACAAATCATGGCATTCTATCAGTGCGGCACAGCCCCCGCCTGAGACACTGTTGGAAGATCTGGCACCATTGGCAGGTGAGGAAGACCCACTGAAAAACCACCAACATAGTTTATCGATTAGTCCTAGCAAAGAAAAGATATTGGAAGAACATATTAAAACCTTTGGCAGGAGGATGAGCTTTCATCTTCCCAAAAGAGTTGAGGAATCCTTAGAGTCCTACAAGACAAAAGTGGAGCCATCCCATCCTCCCTCTCAGTTCCACGCTGCCTCCCACGCCGTTTCTGCAGTGAATTCTGCCCAGACCTCCAGGTTCCAGCAAAGAAATACTAGTGGAGATGGGATGCGGACATTGAATTTCACACCCATCCAAGAAGTGTCTCTCCCTGCTTCCTGGCCTGGGAGCCAAATACGGCCGGCCTCTGAGATCAAGGTGTTTGTCGACAAAGACCTTAGCACAGCTCAAAGTGGCAGAGAGCCGATCCAGCCCTGGACACCTGGTATGGTGGACAAAGGCAGCCTGCAACAATCTGGATCAGACCATAGACATAGCCCAGAGCTGCCCATGAGACCAGATAGGCCAACAGTTCCCCACAATCCTAGAACATCTGACTATAAAAGTCAGGTGTCCAGAGGAGTCGTGTTGCACTCAGAGAGCAGACCACCCATCCAGGCAGCAGGCCTGCCTGATGTGCCCTCAGCCTCAGAAGAAAAGACTTCTAAACCCCAGGGCCCCTCCAGTGGGGATATGGTGGCTTCTCAGGTACTGCGGGTGCACTTGCCCACTGCGAGAGTTGGCATTGAGGCAGGGCAGAGTTCCTGGTTCCCTGCAAATGTGTCAGGCAAGTGCCAGAACAAGGGGTGTCCCCCAGCTGCCAAGCGAGTGTCCCCACTGGGTGGAGGGGATGCAGGCTTAGGGACATCCCAAACCAGAGGGAAGAGGCTCTCTGTTCAGGCCAGGGCACCAGAGGAAACACATGGACACACATCCTCCCCGGTACAGTCACGTAGGGGGCAGCCTCTGGAAAATCAATTCACCAGCCAGGTGAAATGCTTCTTGCAGTGGGTGTCCCCTGGAAGAAAACACAAAGGGCAGGAAAGGTCCCTGGCCAAGGGCAGCTTCTCATCACCACCTGTGAAGGGCACAAGCCTCATCAAAGGGAGATGTGAGTTTTATGAGAACATTGAAGCTCTGAAGTACGTGAGAGACCCCGGGGTGATCCTCAGGAAACCACTGGGACACAGGCAGGGCACAGTCATCCCCTGTCCCCAGGCACCTGTGCCTCCCTTCATGGGGTCTGAAGAAACTCAGCAGGAGGTACAACTGCTGGCTCAGTCAGAGCCTGTGCAGAGGTACCTCTCCTGCTGGCAAGCTGCCTGCTCTCAAGTGCAGAGGGCTGAGGCCTGCAGCCCAGGACAAGGGCAGACAGTCCCTAAGAGGTGTGGCACTGCAGGAAAAGCTGAGATGGTCACCTCCCCCATGCAGGCTCCACAGGGATCCCGAGTCCCACCCAAGTCCTGTCTGTAGGTGTCAAGCTGGCCAGGGTGTCCTGTCTGCCCTTCTCTGTGTTGAAGGAAATGTTGGGAGGTCTGTTTCCATTACCCACGAAAATGCTTATCTATGCGAAATATGTTTTCTACCCAACAGCAACTTTTCCTTTGCTGTCAGTATTGATTAACCCAATAAATTTACTTAAAATGTGCGTGTGTGTGCGTGCGTGGGTGTGCGCGTGCGTGGGTGTGCGCGTGCGTGCGTGCGTGCGTGCGTGCGTGCGTGCGTGTGTGTGTGCGTGCGTGCGTGCGTGCGTGCGTGCGTGCGTGCGTGCGTGTGTGTTAGTACCAGAGCTGGATTTAGGGAAAGGATCCAATTATTTCAGCTTTTTCTTTCCTTCTGCCTCTTTATGCTTCTTCTCAAAGACAAACTGTAAGGAGCCTTGTAACCAGGCAGGCAAAGGCCTGGCTGAAGAAAGATTAAAGGAAAAGGAGCGTAGGCCCACTACGCAGCCCAGATAAGAGTGAAAATGTGTGAAGTGTGACAAAGTGTGATTAGCACGATTTAGCGAATTATTTAAAGACCAGCCCAGAACTAGGAATTTTAGAGTGAACCACGACTCTATGTCCTGGAGCTCTCCTCCGCTAACCTAAGACAACCAGTCCATCAAGCTGAGTGCCGCCAGTTCTGAGCCTGCCGCTGCAGGAGAGCCTATTGTCACAGCCTGCTGTGAGCCTATTGTCTGTGGTTCTTAGGATTGTTTGCTTATGCTTGTGTGTTGCTTTGACATAAGTGTAAAGTAAAATTTATGCTCTTAATCAACTCACTGAGTTTGTCATTCCTCCCAGGTCAAAACCTGGTAAGGGCTCGAGACACAAACTGTTTCCTGATTCTTGTTAAAGCATGGACGCCATGTGTCAAGAAGAGATTCTTCACTCCCTCGAGGTCAGGGAAGGTAGTTTTGCTTTCAGCCCTGTCTCTTAGCTCACAGTGTTCCTCTCAGACCTTTTCTATATTCTTGAGACCGGTGGTTCCCTAGCATGAAGCCATCCTCATTAGACAAGGGCAGGGTAGTTGCTTAGAATAGAGGGACTTAGTCAAGCCCAAGAACCAGTTGTCAGTGATCGGGTGCTGTATGCCACCATTCCTTCAGGGTCTCCTGTAGAGGATCGTATGTGATTAAGGTGAAGTCCAGGAAGAACACCTCGATGTGCTTAAAGCAAGTCCTATGAGCAGCTTGTTAAGGTCATTGGATTACTGGTGGCCTGAGGAAAGACACACACTAAGGAACGGAGCACGTTGCACAGAGTTGGGTAAAGGAGGAGAGGACAGCCGGGCAGTGGTGGCGCACGCCTTTAATCCCAGCACTCGGGAGGCAGAGGCAGGCGGATCTCTGTGAGTTCGAGACCAGCCTGGTCTACAAGAGTGAGTTCCAGGACAGCCTCCAAAGCCACAGAGAAACCCTGTCTGGAAAGGAGGAGAAGACATTTGGGTGGAAAAGATGAGGTAAGAGACATGGAGCACTGGGAGACAGGACAGCGTGTATACTGGGGGGAAGTGAACTGGTCGCGCGGCAGGAACTATATGGTAAGGTGCACAGGGTGGGCTAACATGATTGGTAGTGAGGAGGAAAGAAGTGAGGCTTGACGGCAGTCTGGGGTGAGCCTGGAAATGACTTGGCTGCCCAGTCCAGCAGTTAACTGACAGGATTTGAGAAACACAGTAGACTGGTTAGACAAGACTGAGTTGGGAGACTGCAGGCATTAGGCAGCCCTGCTCTTCAAAATGGTAGAGTTTCCACACACCAGCTGAAAGTAGCATACCTGGAGAGGTGCAAACAGGAAGACAGAACTAAGCCAGGCATGGGGGACCATGGGATAGGCATGACAGAGGTTACTTCTTCCTCAGACCCCATCTCTTACGAAAGGACAAACCATCAAAATGTGGCCTCAGTGGGGTGACTCCAAGGCTCGTGGGTGTGCAGAACTGGAGGCAGGAGCAAGATGGTATTTGAGGAGATAGGTGGGCAAATGGGAGGAAGCACTCTAGACAAGGAGGCTAGCAACCATATTGAAAGCAAGTAAGGAACCACCTTGGCCCAGCAGCCGCTTCTCACATCCACATCCTGAGGCCAGCTGAGCCTGAGATTTCACAGAGGCCTTCCTGGCCCTCACTCTGGGTCAGCCCTCTGCCCACAGCCACGGCTGCCACCACGTCACTCTGCACAGATGCACTCTGAAGGCACTGCTACCTAGGGTGTTACTCATTCAGCTGAGCGGCTCAAGCCAAGCCCTGCCCACTAGGAGAGTGGGCTCTGTCTGAAAGGGGACCAGGTCAGAGCCCTTCTCTCCAGCAAAGCATCTACATCAAGATCTTAACCTTTTCTCCATCCAGAAGAGGGTGGATTGACAGCCATTTTGGTTTTGAAAATCTAAGCTTAATTCTTCCAGGCTCTAGGTTTTCATATGTAGGGGCTTCCCGGGCCCATTTTCTTTCTCTGGTTTCTTGAGACAGGGTCTCACAGTGTAACCCTGGCTGTTCTGGAAATCTGTGAGGGGCAGGCTGGCCTCAAATTCACAGAGATCCTCCTGCCTCTGCCTCCCTAGTGCTGGTATTAAAACTGTGCCACCAATGCCTGACAGGCCCATTTTTAGGGAAAGGATTTTGGCTCAAATCTGACAATTCTTTGCTTTTTCTACCATAATAAATGGCCCTAGGTATAAAAGCTGATAAATGTGTGTGTATGTGTTTTAAAGTGAGTTGGATAGCTGGTCAGGGTATATGATAGTCCGACAGGCCAGGTGGCTGTGGACTAGGGTAAGTTGGTAACCAGTCACTATGTTGTCACTAGTGGGAGACAGACTGACAGGTCAGCTGGCCATAAATGGGGAATGTGAGCTTGGCTGCCAGGCTGCCATGGACCAGGGGGAGGCTGGGGAATAGAGATGGAGGAATGGTATATGAGGGCCAGTCACACAGCAGCAGACTGGGATGAGTCTGGAGACAAGGGCCCCTGGGAGGCAAGCCAACCAGGCACTAGAATCAACTGCAGAGCCAGACAAGTAGGCTACCTTAGGATAAGACAGGCAGCCACACAGGAGCGTGTGATGGAGTGGGACGTACTCGGTGGAATAGGGTCAGGCAGGAATAGGGTAAGCTGAAGAACAGAGGGGAGAACAGGTATCCATGTGGACTAAGGTAAGCAAGGGAGCAGAGCAGGCTAGCGGGGAGACGCGGGGAGTTGGAGAATCTGACCTGTGGTATGGAGTAGTGCAATCTAGGAGCAGAAACTGCTCGTGTTTTCAGGTAGAAGCCGACTAGGAAGGGCTGGGGAAAATGGCCCTGAAGCAGTGGGTGGGCTGAGTAGGGTGCACAGGAAACAGGGTAAGTAGGCAAGGAGACAAGCGGGCTGTTACCTTAGCATGCTGGGTAGACTGGGCTAACTCGTAGACCAGGTTATGGTAGGTTTGTAGCAGGGCCTAGGGGAAAACAGTGCATTGACCGGATGGCGCCACATGAGAAGAGCAGTGTGCTCTTCTGGGGAATATGTCACACTGGATGGAGTAGAGTGGCAGTCAGCTCAGCATCACACGGTGGCTGACAGAACAGGGGGAACCTGAACCAGGCTGGTGGCAATCCAAGTGACGTGGCTGCAAAGCTGGGTGCCTTGGGCAACCAGGCGGCCTAGTACACAGGGCCATGCCAAGGTAACCTGAGAAAATGCCCCAGTTGGTGGGTTAGCTGGCCATGCAAGAGAATAAGCTGGGAAATGGCATGCCGAGTGGGCTACAGTGAGTGGAGTAGACTGGAATAAAGTGTGACTTGGGAGGCCTGCTAGGATTGCCTGGGGAGCAGGACTGGGGTCTCCTGGGGAGGGGCAGTCCACAGTGACAGGTCAGGAGTCAGCTAACAAGTGGGTTAACATTAACTGGCCAGTTTGGCAGGGCCAGACAACATGAGGGTGATCGTAGGCTGGCAGGCTAGGCAGAGGTAGTTACCAGGGTTAGTTAGAAGCCTGGAAGAATGTTGTGGAGATGAGCTGGCTACTTTTCTGTCAGCTTGACACAGACTCAAGTCATCTCAGAGTAAGGAACTCCAATTGAGAAAATGTCTCCATAAGATCAGCTGTAGGTAAGCCTGTATGTCATTTTCTGAATTAGTGATTGATGGGGGCGGGGACAGCCCATTTTGAGTGATGTCATTCCTGAGCTGGTGGTCCTGGGTTCTATAAGAAAGCAGGCTGACCAAGACATGAGGAGCAAGTCAGTAAGTAGCACCCGTCCATGGCCTCTGCGTCAGCTTCTGCCTCCAGGTTCCCGCTTGGTTTAAGTTCCTGCCTTGGCTTCCCTCAGTGGACTGTAACTTGGAGTGTGTAAGCCAAATAACCCCCCTCCTCAGGTTGGATTAAGTCATGTTTCCTCCCAGTAATAGAAACCAGGACAATGAAGAATGACGGTGATTTGGGGGAAGGAGCATGCTGATAGGTCAGACGCAGCACCAACATCATGCAATGCTAGGTGGCGACATGCCTTGAAGGGAGGCAGCATGTCATGCCAGACAGCAATCCTACAGACGCCAGCACTTGGAGGACAGTTATGTGTAAGTTCTATCATGACAGCGGTGAGCTACACAGCACCAAAATCAGCCCCACAAGATGCTGGCAGGACTATAGAAGAGCCTGGGGATGCCAGGCTCGTTAGGGGTAATCTCCTTTGAGTTGCATTGTCTACTAATCTAGAGTCGCATATACCTTCTTAAGTACACCACTTGAAAGAAGGGTGACAAAGAAAGGTGACATCCCAGGAAATGTCTCTGGCACTGGCAGCAGGATGAAGATTTTCTCAGAAAGTATCATCACTCTAGACAGAAATGGCCAGGGAGAAGTCAGTGGCAAGAACAAAATGGCAAGATTTCTGACAGCCGTTGAGAAGCACCTGTCGGAGCCTGTGTAAGCAGCGTCTACTGTTGTGAACACTTCCTAACCAGTCGCCCATAGCAACAGCTCCAAACAGAGTTTACTGAAAACTCTCAAAGTG